TGCAAGAAGGCAATCTTGTTGCACACAGAGACCTTGTTCCCTGTGTGCATATTGGCAGGGTGCACTTTGTGCTACATTGTGTGCTACACTTTGTGCTACACTTTGTGTGCACTTTGTGCTACATTGAATTCCAGCCAGTATTTTTAATATTTTACATTGGGTCCTATTATTCCCATTGAGAGCTAGTTTATAAATTACACAGAATGAGATTGGAGATCCTATGGTAGGAGAACGTTTGGGTATACCACTACATCACACATTTTTCAATTATGTCCCTAATTCTTCTTCTTCAACAACAAAATTATCTATATGTAGCCAGCTAACAAAACAGACTGACAGGTTTAGCATAGCACTCTGCCCAATCTGCTAGTTTATTGTGTGCAGGAAGTGTGTTTTTATGTAGGGAAACATGAAAAAATAAAACAGACAGACACATATGCAACCTGAAACGGTAGATCCCAGAATTTCATCACCTCTGGCAAGTACTTTATTCTGCCTAATATGTAGAACAGCTGAAGTCTGGATCTGCCGAGAGGCAAGAAGGAGAAATGCCTTGTACATCTGATATTTTGTGCTATTTTCAGAGAGCTATTTGGGACCAAACTATATGTGACATTAATTGCGTGGTTTTCTCTGGAGTGCAAGCTTTTTCTTTCATAAAATGGCAATCTGGATCAGGGCCATGACTTAGGAGGTAAGTTCACCCCTGCATCTGCTATTTGCATTGGCAGAGTCGGGGGGGAGGCAAAGGTATTGAGGCTACAGGGGAGGCAAAGGGTTAATGCCCCCTATCACCCACATCAGGGTTCTGATCTGGATTGGGTCATCCCCACCCTGCCAATTTGTGAAAGAAAAACTGAAGGACAAATGTCATCTGTAGTTGGGACTTAGGAGCTTTTGTTGTGGGTTTGGGGAAACTTTTGACCCTCCAGATGTTGCTGTACTACAACTCCCATCATCCCTACCCATTGGCTGTGATTGCTGAGGCTGATGGGGGTTGTACTTCAACATCTGGAAGCCCTGAAGTTCCCCACACCTGCTTTGCAGCATTATTACTAAGAGAAATGTTAAGTGGATATCGTTACTCCGGGCATCAATATTTCCTGCCCTATTAGAGAAATAGTAAACTGGCAACTTAAAAAAAAACAATAAGGAACTTTGTGGGAAATTGTGAAACTATTTAAGATCTGTCTTCCAAACCCATAGCTTATACAACATTGCTGCAGTCTAATGATGTGTTTTTATGTTCCATTTTTACAGAATAGTGTCCTCACATGCTTTCTGTTATAGTTTGTACTTTTTTAGACATGCTTCTTCAATCCAGCCCTCCAGGCTTGGAAACTGACAAGATAAGGCCCAGATCCTGACTTTCCTTTAACATGCAGGCAAATGGCTCAAACACTCAGACATGTCAGGCATGTGGCTGTTTGCTGCTTTTCATGATTTATATCCTGTCTTTCATTCTAATGCCTTTTTACGGTGGCTTGCAACAAGTTGCAATAGTACAAAAAGCAACAGCCAATATTTGCACATACATACACAGGGAAGCAGCCCTTACATCTCTGGCTGATGAATACAGCTTTGCTTTCTTTGGTTTTGTAGTCCCAGGGCAACTGTTGCTTGGAATTTTTCTTTCTTTCTTGAGTCATATCTGCATTATGCTAGATGGACTGATGATTCCTTTGCGGATCCAACTAGTCCGGCATCCTAAGTTTTATAACCTGTTGAAAGAATACTGTTGTTCTGTTTAAGGTATGGTCTGCCTTAGTGAAGAATTACAAATTCTCCGGGAAGAGTTCTTGAGTGATTCGACTAACTGCTGCAGATTCTAGAGGCTTCAGGGTTTCGTGTATGTTGTGGTATTGTGAAACTGAACAGAAAATATCAACGATTGTCAGGTTGAGCCATATAGAAGTCACTCACGTAAGCCCAGAAATTCTCATCAAGGTTCTAAGAACCAGTGAAGACTATAAGAGTGGGAGTGCACACTCTTCAGGAGAGTAAGTTAAGAGTTTTGAAGCATGACTCCTCACAGTTAGAAAGTGATTGCCACTTTTTGTGAGCCTTTGTTATGCCTGTTGGTTAAAGGTCTGGCATTACATAGGGAAAATGGAACCACACTTTTGTACACTCTACTTTTATCTCCGCCACCTTCACAACACCCTTTTCCTGTTACCCCCAAGAATTTTGACCGAGCTAATGCAACCTACAGGGTTATAGGCAGGGATTTGAGTCCAGCTCTCCCATGCTAATACCTAACCTTTGAATTTTACCACTCTTTGAGAGTTGGCCTCAGAAGCCACAGTGCTCACAATCCTGATCCATCTCACTTTTTTCCAATTAAGCTAGAAATGCAGTGTAGCCTAACAGTACATAGTGTGCACTTCGCAGGTCTAGACCACAAACCAATACAGTTGATGCAATGAAACCCCAAGGTCAGGGATTGTGTTTGGAGTAGAAAAGGGTGGAGATAACTTGGAGTGTTAATGTAAGCAGGAGGGGTGATTTGAAGGGAGTGTGGAGGGATTTTGTCAATGGACAGTTGGAAAAGGAAGGCAGTGGTAGGTAAAGGGAACTAGCTGGGTGCAGATGGGTTTAGAGCAGGGATGGGATGGGAAACCTGTGGTCTTTTGGATGTTGTTGGACTTCAGCTCCCATTAGCCCCAGTCAACTTGGCCAATGGTTTGGGATGATTGGGACTTGTAGTCCAGCAACACCCACTGGCCTTCAGGTTCTCCATTCCTGGTTTGGTAGATTGCTGGTCCTAATTGCACCCACCCCAGATTTCAGTTTACTGTGGATTTGTTTTCATTGTTCATTAAAACTCTGCCTTTTGTTTACTCTGGGGAATTGTGAACCCAGTCCATAAAGGGTTTGCAGTGTTGCTGATGCAGCTAGACTGTGACAGCATCATATCTGGTTTGATTTAAACAAGCATAGTGGAACACATTCACATTTCATTCCTGTGGCATACAGTGTGAATGTGATAACTTCACTTCTGATGAGCTTCTTCTAGGTTACCCAAAACTATAAGGCTATAAAGGATAAATGTGAGGATGCGACCAAGTGTTTCTAGAAAAGTGTTGCATTATGATATATTGTACTAAAATGCACTGCGCGGGCCAAGCGGCTGTATCAAAGCAAAATACATGGCTGGATCATTCCAGTCCTCAACACTCACCAGTTTCAGATTTAAACAATCTGTTTTCCCACTCTACAGCACCCAGAAGTTTCACAAACATTTGAAAAATGATACTTTATTAGTCGATCCAACTGCAGTTTGTTTTAATGTGTTGCAATCCTTACAACTATAATATGATAAAAATATATAATTCAATTTTGAAACCGTTTGAGCATAAACTAATAAAATTCCTTGAAAATGCTAATGCTGTGAGGAATTAATCCAACCTGGCATTGCAACAGAAGCCACAACAAACAAACACGTCCTTATGAAATAATAGCTTGTGTTCTTCCCCATTTCTGTCTAACAAGTGAAGGACCAAAAGCATATCAATCACGACAGGGAAAAGATGCCAGCTAAAGCGACAGTGGGAAACAACTAGGCCGGCCCTGCCATTTGCCAACGGTGGATTGCAGCAGAGTGGACATAATCAGCCTGACCGTTTTCTCCTTCCTATTTAACAAAACTAGATTAAAATGGACAGAATTTTTTTGCCCCTTTCTTTTTAAGACTGCCATGCCATCTGTGAGTCAGATACCAGACGGCACCAGTCTGTCTGTATGGCGTTTAACATGTGATGGGCTCCACACCCCATGACCATTGAACCACATAACTGTAGCGTTTCCAACAAACAGTGGCTCTGGAGTCCATTTTTGGAGCCAGTCCTTTCTGAAGATTGAGTTCCATTTGATTCTAACTGGAGAAGCCAGCACTGGTCGTATTTATTTTCATTCTCACATTCGCACTCTGCCCTTCCTCCACCCTTAACAAAAGACTTGACTATATAGGAAAGTTGGCTTTGAAATTGATGCAAGGGCACAATCTGATTTAGGAAGGGTCTCGTATATGACATGCTACTGTACTTGTCCTAATTCACACACAGTGTCTAGGACAGCACAAAGGTCTCTTGAAATCTGTACCCATGCATCTCTTTTAGAAAATGTTACCAGCATTTAGAGATTTTGATTATATCAAGTAGTATAAACATTTTATAAATAAATGAATATGCAAGTTTTCAGACAGCTACTAAGACCAAAGAGGTATGTAGATTAGTGTTGATATATTTTGTGTTTGTGCGTATATGGCCAATAAAGCTAATCTGCTTTTTTAAGTGTGTATTTGGAAGTGCTGGACATGTACGCACAGCCCATCCCTGTGAAGCTCTGCCCATAGTTGTTTGGGGCGGGTGAGGGAAGCTAAACATATTTTATTATGAACAGACTAGAGTGGTTTTTCTGTTATCTGACTGAGTGAGACAATGTGTGGCATCAGAGTTAGCCTAACTATACTCCAGAATGTCAGACACGCTTGCCAAGAGTGGATGTATCAGCTTTATATGGCTGGGAGATTTAGTTTTATCTTAATGTCCTAAAAGGAATAAAGTGCTTACCACTGTTTCTGTGTTTTGGGATGACTCTGCCGGTCTATTGCCATATGCTATAGATTTAATTTAATGCTGTGGTTCCTATGTCTCTTTTGATAAATTTCGGTGAAAATCTACACTAAGAAGGGTTGAGCTATTTCAATATTTATGGAGTTTCAAATAGAGGAATAGGAAAGGAAACACTGTAATTGAAACAACATTTGTGTATATTCTTGCCGTGAAAGTTTCTGAAGCGGGTTTGTCAGTCGCTCTGGATATTAACAGGATTTGAGTGAGGTTTGAAAAGATCCATTTTAATTCTAGCTCTTTATCATAGTTATCCAAAACATCCGCCCTCCCCACCACCACCTCTCTCCCCCTGCTTTAATGATGAGATTCCAAATCTTAGACCTGAACCATTCTCATTTTCCTTTTCCTTTTCTCCTTGGATTGTAGGCATATTGGAGATAACATCAGTGGAAATTGGAGTTGTAGCTGTTAAATCCATTAGCAGCAACTATTATCTAGCCATGAACAAGAATGGAAAAGTCTATGGTTCGGTAAGTATGTTTCTCTGCCTTTATTTATTTAATCTGTTGTATACTGTTCCTACGCTGGTCCCATTGTACTGAGCAGGTCTGGTTTTGGAATTGGGCTGGAAGAGAGTCTGCTAACTTGTTTTCAGAAGCAGTTGGGGTTATATATATATATATATATATATATATAAATATATATATTATTATATATATATAATATATATATATATATATATATATATGCTACGAAAGCATATATATATATATATATATACTTGCTTTCGTAGATTTTCACGGGTACAGGAAATGCAGGTTTTGGTGTCCTCGGGTGTCTTCCCGTGTAAAAGTTGGGTGTCTAGGCGACGTTTCGACGAGGTCTCACTCGTCATCTTCAGGCTGGTGCTTTCGGCTTCTTGTTACTGGAACAGAGCAGGATCTCAGTGTTTGAGTTCCTATAATACTGTTGAGGGGGTGTGGTGTATTAGCCTCCAATGTTCTGGGCAGAGAGGAAGTTCCCAGGCTAGTGTTGCCTTTTCTTCTTTTGTTCTTAATTACTTGAGGGATATCTTGAGTGATTTCTTGAGTGATATTCTGAGTACCACTTAGGTGGGTCATTAGGTGTGGATTAGTTGCTAAAGCCTTCGTGTCTTGATATATACCAGAGTAATGGAGTAATATATCATCTCTCTGAACAAGTTTTGGCATAGATTATGGCATTTGATTTGAGGTCATGTTTACTGAAGTTTTAGACCACTCTTCTTCAACCTTTGGTCTCCAGATATTGTTGGACTACAATTCCCATCATCCTAAGCCAATGTACCAATGGCCAGGGAAGTTGGGAGTTGTAATCCCAAAACATCTGGGGACTCAAGGTTTGAAGAATACTGGTTTTAAAAAAATATAAATATCCAATCTTGATCCTCTTATCATCTCACCTCAATCTTCTTCCCAATCTTTTGCAGCCCTATTAAATTTTCCCAGTCTATTAATGCTCTGTATAGTTCAGAAAGCAACCCTTTTGCTCTATTTTTAGCCACCATTAAAACAGTTTCAAACATAGTGGTTTGAGAGTTCCTGCCCTTTTCTAGGATCATTAGCTGTATCATTTACTGATGATCTACAACTCAGCCCAAGAAGATGTCATAAATAGATATTTGTGGCTGTCTGGCCAAGCCCCATAATTTGTTGGAATCCCCAGCTGGTTTCTTCCACTTCTCTCATGCCCAACTGTTTTAACCATATTGCCTCTTTAATGTAACGAACATTGCTAGGTTGTACCAGATGCTAAATGATACAGGACCGTAGCTCAGTGGTAGAGCCAACTGCTTTGCATGAAGAAGATCCCAGAGTCAATCTCAATGTAAGACCAGGAGATTCCCCCTGCCTGACACCCTAGAGAGCCACTGCCAGTCAGTGTAGACATTATTGAGCTACATGGACCAATGGCGTAAGGCAGCTTCCAAGATTCCATATTCACTCTGCCTGATTCCTGAACTATAGGAAGCTTGCTTTATCACTTCACGCCATACATTCTAAAGCTCTTTGAAACCTCTTTAAATTGTCATGGCTTACCCAAAAGACTTCTGGAAGCTGTAGTTTGTTAAGGGTGCTGAGAGTTGTTAGGAGAATCCTGCTCCACTCCCAGAGCTACAATTCTGAGAGTGGCTTAAGCGTCAATCTTGAAACTGCAGAAGTCTTTGTTGATGGCAGGGATTGGAACGGGGCCCTTTGCAATCCAAAACATAGGCCCTTCCATTGAGCTATGGCTCTTTCCCTAACTATGAAGCCACCTCCTACTAGGTCAAACTATTTTCCTTCTCAGCAGTGGCGCCCTCCCTGTGGAATGCCCCCCCCACCAGATGTCAAGGAGATAAATATAGCTTTTAGAAGACACCCGAAGGCAGCCCTGTATCGGGACGTTTTATTATGTTTTTATGTATGTCGGAAGCTGTCCATGGTGGCTGGGGCAACCCAGCCGTATGAGTGGGGTATAAATTATTATTATTATTATTTGATCCCTTTAACTGGTGATGCCAGGGATAGAACCTGGAAACTTCTACCTGCCAATCATGTGTTCTACCACTGAGCTATTGTCTGTCCTTTCAAGGTAAAACTACCTCTTCACTCTTGAGTGGGCAATGATCCACTCATGACTCAAGCAAGCAGCTAGAGAATTCTCTCATCAGCTCGTTTCGCCTAAGAAGCTGGGTGTTAATTATTTCAAGAAATGCTTATATTTGCTTCCTGGATTAAATAGCCCCTGAAATATCATGCTATTTAAACTTCATTGCTGCCTATGAAAATAAACACCTGCCATTCAGTAGCTACACAGTTTGAAAGCCATGTTATGAAATCTCGAATAAAACTGAAGCCCAGCTGCATTAATTTTTTTTAAAATAATCAAAAGCTTTTAAGTAATTCTCAGGTGTGTGTTCAGTTTTCTTTTCACCATTTTTTGCCAAACAAACTTGCCGTGATATGTCTCTCACAACTGTGTTGTAACATCATGTAATGTGAAAGCAGGACTGCAGCAGTGGAATTTGAGATCAGCTCACCCCGTTTGCAAAAAAAGGGACAATGCCTGCCGCTTGCAATTTCTAAAAATGCTTCTATTTTAAAAATAATTTATATTGTTGCCCAACAAATCAGGTGTGCCTTTTCGGCTTCTTAAAAATGATTTAATTGATTGATTTAATCAAGCTGCAGTTCTCCAAGCTAGACGTTGATCCATAACATAGTTATGCCCACCTGTTGACTTCCTATGTCACAGCGCAATCCTGACAATGTCTCCTCAGAAGTAAATCTTACTCAGTTCATGGAGGCTTACTCCCAGGTAAATGTGATTAGGATTGCAGTCTCAACTCCAAAGATCTAAAATTCACAAAATATTTAATGTTAATTTTTAAAAAATTAAGGTGTTGGAGATTGATCTTTCCTCCTCCCATAAGTCAAAGAAGGAATGCCTGCCTGCAAAATAGGTATTTAAAAATTGCATATTTTTCCAGAGGCCGTCGTATAGTCAGAACAATGGAACCCACATGCTTATGATCCAGATTTGGCTGTCTGGAATTGAGATCAAAATACCAGAGGGTCGAGAGTGAAAGCTCCCTATTGGCTCTGATATGCAGAACGTTTTGTACCTTAGCACCAAACCCATGATTAACAGGTTATTTTATAACCTTTCCAGAATGTTCTAGTTAGAACTGTTATTCCCAACAAGACCTCCTATGCCTGTATTCAGACTGGCATAGAAGTTTGGCTTTTATAAGCAGATGGATATGAAAAATAGCCTCAATAAATTTTTCCTAAGGAAAGCTCTCAAAGATTTCCAGCCCAGTTTTTTCAATAAGATATGAGGCATGTGCAGAACATGTGTAGAGCAAAGGCGAATTCAGTTCATAGACTTGATGCTCAACAGAACCTCCATGGAGCTATCCTCATGCAGGGAGAGAGACTATTCACATCACACATATACAGCCATACTTTGAAATTTGCACTTCTCTGAATTTTGCAATGCAGTTCTCTTGGCAAGTAGTGTCTATGAAAATATGCACTCACTAGGATAAAGCTTGGATAAAAGTCCACATATTAGTGCAAATCGCAAGCAAAAATGCATTCTATAAGGGGAAAATAATTTTCAAAAATGTGTATTAGGTAAAAAATGCATACAAATCTATGCATATTAGGAGAAATTCACACTATAACACTGATGAACTGTTACGAGAACTTTAAAAAAAATATCACAAACTGATGTGGAAATGTGGAGAATATAAGAGTGGGGAAATGAAAAACAAAGAGAAACCAAAATTCTCTAATTTGCCAATCCCTATCCTCTTGTTTGAGTCACATACAGTGGTACCTCAGTTTACGAACAGTCCTGTTTACGAACTATTCGGTTTACAAACTCTGCAAAACTGGAAGTAGTGTTCCGGTTTGCGAACTTTACCTCGGTCTGCGAACAGAATCCAAATGGTGGAAGGGGAGTGGCAGCGGGAAGGAAAGCATGCCTCAGTATAAGAACAGATTTGGTTTCAGAACAGACTTCAGAAACGGATTAAGTTCGTAAATCGAGGTACCACTGTATGTACCACTGTTTAGGCCCTAAAAGCCCTAAACAGCCCCGGTACAGTATACCTGAAGGAGCGTATCCACCCCCATCGTTCAGCCTGGACACTGAGGTCGAGCGCTGAGGGCCTTCTGGCAGTTCCCTCACTGTGAGAAGCAAAGTTACAGGGAATCAGGCAGAGGGCCTTCTCAGTAGTGGCGCCCACCCTGTGGAACGCCCTCCCATCAGATGTCAAGGAAATAAACAACTACCAGACTTTTAGGAGACATCTGAAGGCAGCCCTGTTTAGGGAAGCTTTTAATATCTGAAGGACTACTGTATTTTAATATTTTGTTGGAAGCCACCCAGAGTGGCTGGGGAAACCCGGCCAGATGGGCGGGGTATATCATTGTTGTTGTTGTTGTTGTTGTTGTTGTTGTTGTTGTTGTTATGTTAGCTTCCTTGGAAAGCAGGAGGAAGGCATTTTAAATGAATTAGATTAAATTTACTTTCCTATGCTTCTTTCTTTTTTAAAAAGAAGAAAGAAAAACCCACCACACAGGAAACTGCCTCATACTGTCTGCCTTATACAGAGTCAGATCACTGGTCCATATTCAGATCATTTCCTCAGTATTGTCTGCTGTGATTGACAGTGGCTTTTGAGGATTTCAGAGAGGAGGCTCCCTCAGCCCTACCTGGTAATGCTGGGGAATTGGACCTGGGACCTGCAAGCTAAGCCAGTGCTACACCCCAGAGCTACAGCTCCTCTCCTTTAAGAACAGCAGAGCAGCTAAGAATGTGTGAGACAAGCTAGACACCAAGTGTGGTGTGGCTTGTGCAAATTGGCTGTACTGAGAGATGCCAGAATGTGCCCAACGCAGACGTGGCCTGAATCTTCTCTACTATCCTGAGTTTATGCTCATCACGCTGTCTTTGATGGGTGGATACTGCTTCAGCGTGATCAGATCCCATGCCACACTCCTCTAATACTTGACATGGGGGAGAAATCAACTGGGTGAGTGGTGCAATTGCTTCCCACATGAGACAAGCTGCACTCTGAAGTTTTTCCCTTCTAGGCATGAATGCTGCAGTGTGGGGCACAACCCTGTGAAAGATGTCGTGAAAAAATCAGCCCCCCCCCCAAAAGTACATGCAAGTTCATATCCAAATAAATAATAATAATAATAATAATTTTTATTTATACCCCACCCTCCCCAGCCAAGGCCGGGCTCAGGGCGGCTAACAAGCAATAATAAAAACAAGTTGAATGAATACAACTTAAAAACAAGATTAAAATACAACATTAAAATATTGAAACATTAAAATATTAAAATGCAGCCTCATCACAGGAGGAGAAAGGAAAAAGAAAAAATAAAGAGGGAGAGGGAATCAAATTGGCTCCAAGCCAAAGGCCAGGCAGAACAACTCTGTCTTACAGACCCTGTGGAAAGAAATCAGATCCTGCAGGGCCCTGGTCTCATGAGGCAGAGCGTTCCACCAGGCTGGAGCCAGTGTTGAGAAAGCCCTGGCTCTGGTTGAGGTTAATCTAACTTACTTAGGGCCCGGGACCACTAGGGTGTTGCTATTTATGGACCTTGGGGCACACCGGTAGAGGCGGTCCCATAGGTACGAGGGTCCTAGGCCATGAAGGGCTTTAAAGGTCAAAACCAGCACCTTAAATCTGACCCTGTACTCCACCGGGAGCCAGTGCAGCTGGAAATCATGCATTTAAAGCACTGTTATATGACATTAACAGTTATGGAGAATCCTGGGAATTGCAGTTTGTCAAGAGTGCTGGGAACTGCAGCTCTTTGACGTCCTCACCCTACACTAGGCTTCCTCCAGATGTTTTGAGACTACAATTCCCATCATCCCTGACCACTAGCTAGGGATCATGGGAGTTGTAGGCCAAAAACAAATGGAGGGCTGAGGTTGAGGAAGCCTGCCCTACACAATCTACAGTTTACACGTTTCTCTATGACTGTTAAAGTGGTATAATAGGGCTTTGAATGTACAGTGCAGATGTGCCCAAAGTTTACCAATTCTTTCTTTCTTGCATCACTTTGCATTCTAATCTTCTCTCTGTGCATGTGTTTCTTTTTCTCGTGTGAAACAGAGGGAGTTTAACAATGACTGCAAACTAAAGGAGAGAATAGAAGAAAACGGATACAATACGTACGCGTCGCTGTTTTGGAGAAACAACGGGAGGCAAATGTTTGTGGCCTTGAATGGAAAGGGAGCCACGAGGAAAGGACAGAGAACCAGGAGGAAAAATACAACCGCTCATTTTCTCCCCATGGTCGTCGAGCAACAGATGAAGGGCCTGTTCTATTGATAGCAGTTGAACCAAAGATCATTTGTCAGGAATACTTGGTAATCCTCTTGAAGAGGAAAGGCAGAAACAGTGCAGACGTCTGCTTGATTGAAAAGAGGGGGGAAGCCTTTGAAGGTTTTGTGCTCTCTGCTGGCACGTGAAGTACTGCTAATTAGTTCTGTGTCATATCTTATAATCAAGACACAAGCTGAATCAAATGGGATGGGAGCTCTTTCCAGTGTGAACAAAATTATTATTATTATTAATATTATTTTTTATCTCCGCGATAGAACTTAAAGGACATGAGACAATGTATTGAATGATGTTGGGGGAAAGTTATTTATGGAATACTAACTCATATCAAAGACCTTCATTGCTCATTCAAGCCTAATGATCCCATGAACAGTTAGGCACGCAAGCATTTACTGGAAATTCGTGGATCCTCATATGCAGCGATAAAGAAGATTCTGGAATGGTTTTGTGAAAGAAATGAATAGGATTAAGAAATATAAGCACATTAGAGTAAAACTGTTCTAACAAAATAAATAGTATGGTTCCCCCGCCTTGTATGCTTATGCCATGCTTTTGTACTTCTCCCTAAGTTATTTATTTAATAGGATGTTAAATATCTTTCTTCTCTCTTTTTTGTTTGTTCGTTTGAAGGATTTTCTCAGTTGCTTCCTGTTGCGTTGTTGTTCTTTTTCCTTCTCTGTGTTTCATACAAGATTGACCAAGTCAGATGTCAAAAAGCTCACACAAGTGTCCAAGAGCAGAGAATAGATAAGGCTAGGGCTGTGGTTTTTGTTTGATCTTGTTTGTTTGTTTGTTTGTTTGTTTGTTTTTCCTCTTGAAACTGGGTTTCTTTTTTTCTTTTTTTAATTTTGCACTTAAAATCAATAGGATCAGATATGCATGGGAACTGCAACGTGACCTGTGTGTTTGTTTGTTTGTGTGTGTGTGTGTGTGTGTGTGTGTGTGTGTGTGTGTGGTTTTTGTCAGCATCACTGATAGTCTTTCCTTGCCACAGGAACAAAAGTTCTCATCCTGCATCATCTGAAGAGTCTTGCTGCTGTTTTGAAATGGGCTGAGTTGAACTGGTACCCAGATGTACATTTCTCTCCAACTTATTTCAGTTAAATGCCTGGTCCCAAAGATGCTGAAATTTAATCAGAGCTCTTCGGCAGGTTTTGTGGAACAGACCGTAAATGCATCCAACTGCATCTTATATTGGTGGGATTATATGTTTTCAGACTAAAGCTGAATTAAGTCTATGGAGTTGCTAACATCTGACGGAACAAATTTGCCTTCTCCTTCTCCCCCTGAAAAAAAGTAAGACAGAAAAGAGCCAAATCTTTTGACTGCAGTCAAACAATTTCAGAAGAGACGGGGTGTATGTGGTGTTGAAAAATTGCAGCCTCAATCTGAATAATCTTCCCTTTTTAACAAATGGTAGCTTCAGATGTTACATAGGACCTGAAGGAGAAGATGTAGGAGTGAATGGCTCTGCTAGTGTAATGAAAACTTGCCTGTGGTCCTCTGGAGAGATGCAGGTCCTTCATATCTCTATCTATGGGAAAGATACTAACATTCCAACAAGGAGTGGGCCCATGCTGCTCCTATGTAACATTTGGAAGCTGGCCTACAGCTCTTCATCATCATACTGGCTTTGGATACAACATACATACCACTGGTGTGAACTAGCAAAAGTTAGTGGTAGCCCCTATTACAATCATTTGGAAACAACAGGGAATATGTCCTTAACTGAAGATATGGGGTTGGGTTGGATGTTCATTTGCTATCTGATGAGAGCATTGTGCATCAACTCTTGTGTTCTCATTCCCTTGCTTTTGAAAACCTGAGGAACAATGGCTGAGTGCAAAATGGCGGAACATGTAAGTGGGGTGGTCACCTTTTTGTGCAAAATGGGTAGCAGGGTGCCCTAGAAACTCCTAGAAACATCAGCAAGACCGAGCAGTTGTCTCGTGCCTCTCTCATGTCAACACTGTGATAGTTTGGAGATTTAGCTGTACCTCTGAGATAGGAGCGGGCGAGAGCATTCTTTCAGCTTTATGCCATTTTAATTTTATCCCTTTCTTTGTTTCACTGAAAAGAACCAATGACATATAAGGCACCCCAAGCCAGCTTTGCTTTGCTCACCAGGCACATGGCAATGTGTCGAGAGCCGGTGACAGGCCCTTGTGTCTCTGTCTGACTGGGACCTAACATGGAAGAACTGCATAGTCCTTTCTCAAACCAACTCAGACAAATAGGGATATCTGGAACCCCCTCCCTGCGAAGTGCCTCTGAATCACTGATAGCTTATACAAAGAGCAGACCATGTGATAAAACTATTCCTGGACTTTGCCATTTGAGTCCGTTAGGGAGGGCATCAACATCTACTGTATATACTCAGTGTAGAGAAATGAAGGTACCATGAAGATACCAGATTCCTTTCTACCATTCTTCCTAGTGGTTTTTTGTTTTTTGTTTAAATGTGTAGGGACTTTTCCATGGGAGAATATTCAAAGAGTAGTCTGAGGCAGTATAGCCTGGAAACAGTTTGACCATGTGATCTGCTGTTTGTGTAGACTAGACGTGAGACTGGAGGTCTTCAAGCTGTTGGGGATGCTTTAGCTCTGGATTGGGCAACATGGCGTACAAGGTCCCCTCCAACTCTATGATTCTAACTCTAGAGCCCAGGATTTCCTGCATTTAGCAGGGAATGGGCTGTGTGGCCTACAAGTTCCCTTCCAACTCTATGATTCTGAATAAAGCTGTTTGCCCTCTTGCGGTAGACGTTTCACAACCCCTCACTGGCAAGGTGGATACAGCCATTCTTGCCCACTTTAACACTGACTAGAATAACCACACTAAAGTGAACAGATCTACTCTGACGTAAGTGACTTGAGGATTGCAGCCACTATTATTCATATGTGTATATAACTTCTGAGAGCCAGTCTAAAAGCAACATCTTAAATGTTCTTCATTTATCGCAATATATACAATGGCTCTGAAATGCAATATTGGGCACATTTTTAAAATGAAGTGCTCCTATTTTCACAGCTTACACTGAGTAAATGCGATCTTCAGTTAAACATAATTATCAACTTCGTTCAATCTGAAAAAAAAACACCTATATGATTTTTTTGTTTTACTTTTTTTTTTCCTTTAACGTTAGAAAGCTGTGGATAGTTCATCAATATAACCATAAAGAGATTCATTTTGTTAGAGCAAGTTAAGTAGAATACTGTACATCAAGCCAACATGTACCACTCTCTTCACATTGTATTCCACTAAATAAATGAATAAATGCGTATGTCTTCTTTGCAGTGTCTGTAGCGGGAAACAGAAGTAGTTTTGTTAATACTTTAATTTTGTTCAAAATACTTTAAGGGACTATGTCGATGCTGTGACTTTGATATTTCTCGTCACGAAAGAAGTCAGTTTGGTTTCTCATTTTGTTTGGAAATAGAATTTTGATACAGAGATTTGTTAATTGTGTCCCTTTTTAAAAAAACAAACTAATGTATAACCTCTACAAAGGCTGATGATTTTGCAATCTGTTATTATCTATTAGCTACTTACCCGAGTCCCTGTTAAACCAGCATGAGGGGAAAATCTATATGCACAATCCATTATAGTGTGGAAGGGATTGGTATAGGGGAAACACAGCCTGGCTGCTGTTCGCCCCATTTTTGGCAGATGTGCAATGCAACACCTGAGCCAAGTGATATGGGCCATGGAAGGAGAGTGCATCAAACTATCCTCATCCGGCTTTCCCTCGCACCTGGTTGCGAGTTACTCAGAGTCATTTGGCCAAAAGGGCCAGAACATTCAACTGAGCCCAAAGCCAGTTCTTTCCTATTTGGACCGTAGATGTGTGCTAGGATGGAATGTGCCTACAGCTTTCTCCTCGAAGTATGAAATGTTCAAGCTGTATTTCCTGAAGTCTCCCTTTAAAAAAGCGCTTCCCTTATCCATGGGATACACTAGGAAGTTCTTCTACACAAGAAGAAGTTCTTCTACCCCTCCAGTGAAACACATGGCAGCATGGCAATCCCAGTCTGATGTAGCCTGAGCCGACGAGGCAGCCTTAGGACATGTGGCTAACATGGTGTGCTCCATATCTTGCTGGACTACAGCTCGCATCGCCACTGGGCCTTGCTGATGGAAGCTGAGGTCCACCAACTTATAGAGGGCACCACACTGACTACCTTGGGGCTAATGCATACCCTTAATTTTGTTTGTGGATGGAAAATAAAAATAATATGTAAAGCTACAGGCAGTGGGTGTTTTGAGATGCTGGAGGTAAATCTAGTAACCTCAGCCTGAATAACGAAATGCTCGTTGTCATATCAGGAGAGCACTTCCCTTGCGTTACATTTGCTTTTGTTTTGTTTTCAAAGTGATAATTGCATCTGACAAGGCACCATGGACCACCCACAACAAAAATTAAATGTTTGTTTGGCAAATAAAGGATTGAATGACCACTCTTCTGAACAGCATCTAGGGTACAAACAAGGTTCTCATGTCACAGAACCATTAACGTTGCTTTGGGGTCTGGGGGGGGAGGGGTGTGTGTAAACATTCATAATTATAGCATTTCGGAATCTTTTTTTTAAAAAAAAAAGCTTCTTGCAAAAAGAAAAAAAGATATACTGCTGCTTGCAGAAGCTTGGAAGCAATAGACCCCATCCCATCATGCAGAAAGACAAGAGTATGGATATGTGTTTTCTTTGGGGTGGGAGTAGCTGATTATTTTTTTATAGCCTTATAGAAATTTGTTTGTTCTACCCCTCCCACCTCAAAATCCCGCTGATGTTTCACCTGAGGAGCAAACATCCATATTTGATTTTTAGTTTGCTTTCAGTGAACTCGGGAGACAATCCTGGGGTGTGCTGAAAGTAAAACTCACTCCCTAATAAATTCTGCTATTCTTATTGAAATTCCTCTGGGGTTTCCTTTGAAATCCTCCAGGTAGCGTTTCACTTGAGGAAGAACCACCAAATTCACTTCGCATTTTGCTTTAAGCAAAATTTTGGGAATACCTCTTTAAGTGGAAGCTTTTAACCACTTTGCTAGTTCCTAGGGATTTTTCCCCCTCCCCCCCCGCCCCCAAAGCTGCCAAAAGCCTTTGTTCAGCTGACGTGCTTTGGTGCCCTCTGTTGCAGGACTGCGCTGCAGTTGGGTTTCCCAGAGTAATACCGTTCCACCAGAACACCGGCATGATCCGCAAGGAACTTCTTGTGCACAAATCTAATTGAAATGAATCTGAGGATTCTCATTCATTTCAAACAGGCTTGTGCCAGGAAAGTTCCCAGGTAGACGTGCCCTAAGTATTTTTCTGTCTCCGTCATAAATATGAGACAAGATAAAAAGAAGGTTATTGTATGGTGTTTTTTTATTAAAAAAAAAAGATTGAACATGTATAGTATATTTAAATAATAAAAAATAATAAAATTCTGGGAATAGAGAATGTTTTTGTATGTGTGTGTTTTTGTTTTACTACTTTCAAACAACATGAACTGTAACCAATAAATGCAAAGGAAGAAAAGGGCATTGTGCAATGAAAGGTGGGGTTTGAGAGCCTCCATACAAACACCGGGTAAGGGGGAAATCAAATAAAAAATATACTCATTTAATACAGGTTGGAAAAGTCACCTTGACTGACTCCATTACACTAAAAAATAATAATAATAATAATTAGCTGAATTTCATGGAAGAAGAAGTGCCATAGTCCATGGCCACTGATGGGTACAGAGAATTTTGATAAAAATTGAAACAGGAGTAGAAATTACCAAGGAATACAATCGGTATTTGCTGTTGCTGCTTTCAGTCCATAAATGATAGGTGGTAATTGATTACGTTTCTCCCCCTTTTGCATTGTGTTTTCTTTCCATTGAAATTAATGGGGTGGTAATAACGTAATGATGTAATTTCGCCACAGTGGGTGGTGGGATGAAAAACATCACTTTTCATGGAAGATAAATTGCAGCAGGGGTTGTCCAAGGGTCCTTTTTATTATGTAATCAGTATGATTTTTGTTCATGGCGGTATCAAGGTATATTGTTAGTGCCTGCAAAAGTTCTGGGGTGGACCTTTGGCTTCATTCCCATCTACCACATGTCCCACAACTACCCGTTGAATTCCTGTAACTTTTTATACCACTAATGTTCCTGGAGTGGTTGGGGTGTCCACTTTCACTGTACTAAACGGCCTCGGTCCAGTATACCTGAAGGAGCGTCTCCACCTCCATCTTTCTGCCTGGACACTGAGGTCCAGCGCCGAGGGCCTTCTGGCGGTTCCCTCGCTACGAGAAGCCAAGTTACAGGGAACCAGGCAGAGGGCCTTCTTGGTAGTGGCACCCGCCCTGTGGAATGCCCTCCCACCAGATGTCAAAGAGAAAAATAACCACCAAACTTTTAGAAGACATCTGAGGGCAGCCCTGTTTAGGGAAGCTTTTAATGTTTAATAGGTTATTGTATTTTAGTGTTTTATTGGAAGCCGCCCAGAGTGGCTGGAGAAACCCAGCCAGATGGGCGGGGTATAAATAAATTATTAGTAGTATTAGTATTAGTATTAGTATTAGTAGTAGTATTAGTAGTAGTAGTAGTAGTAGTAGTATTATAACACAAGAGTGCCCCTCCAGGTAACACTAGTAATACAATCCCAAATGTGCAAGAACCATCAACTTCAAGGGTTGATTTATATACCAAAGCCCCTCCCCCCAATTGGTCAACAGCATATTAATGCAAGAGAAATACAGTGGTACCTCGGGTTAAGAACTTAATTCGTTCTGGAGGTCCGTTCTTAACCTGAAACTGTTCTTAACCTGAGGTACCATTTTAGCCAATGGGGCCTTGTGCAGCCGCCGCATGATTTCTGTTCTCATCCTGAAGCAAAGTTCTTAACCCGAGGTACTATTTCTGGGTTAGCGGAGTCTGTAACCTGAAGCGTCTGTAACCTGAAGCATCTGTAACCCGAGGTACCACTGTATGCAATAAAAGCACAACCAATCATTCAAAACAATAGCAAAGTCTCAAACTACCCATCAGTCACACTGAATATATCTTAGGAATGCCACTTAACCCTCTGTTAAGAAACACGGAAACCACTCAACATGCCAGCAGGTACAAACTGCCCTCCTGTTCCACCAACAGGTTCTCTCCCTGTGGCAGAAACTCCTCCTCTCTTCCACCACAACCTACCAGCCAGGAAACAACATGCTCAATTAACCCCACATTGTAATAACCAGAGCCTGGAGGTAAAAAAGAGGGAGGAAATCCTACAAGCCAGAGGGTGGGAGGAACAATATCCACACCAGCAGACTCTCTTCCTGGAGAGTGAAACAACTTATTTCTCTCTCTGCTAAAGTGTCCCCACCAGTCCCACTGGTTTGAAGCAAGATCAAAGTCAGCTCTGCTTTTCCAGGATTTGCATCTGTGCTGCACCAAATCAAAGAAAGAACATCCTTCCATGGGTCTTTAGGATGTGGGAAAGGCAACAGATAGAAGCCCATTTTGTACATTACTAGAGTGATGTTGTGAACTGGCAGGATGACAGGGAGAAGGAAGAGGAGGAAGAGGATAGCGAAGAGTATAGCTGGGACTGGGACACCGGGACAAGCAGGGGATGGGAAAGGAAGTACTCACAGGTTGATGGAGGATGGCAAGGGGATAGGGGGTTGGTGCACAAGAACCAGAGCAACAGGACCCATCACCAGAGCCAGAGGGGTTGCTGTTTCCACAAACACAGCAGGCTCTGAGGGAGCATTGGGAGGGGTGTTCAAGGAGGCTGAGGCAGGTAAGTACCCACAGCCCAGCTCCCCAGCTGGCCATGTGAGGCTTGCTAGCTCTGGGAGGAGGTATGTGATTCCTCAGCTGGAGTAGGCTCACAACAGGTGAGGGACACATGCCTCATCAAGTCCAGATGCTGCAATCAGCATGCAAAGTAGAAAAGAGAAACAGCGCTGAGATGCTGTGTCTACTCAACTGCCCACGTTGATGGATATTGCCTTGGATGCTCCTGGACCTCTATGGGAGTGTGCTTTGTGTTTGACTCTGGACCGTATCCTGACTGCTGGACTTCAGACTTGGCTCCTTGGGTTGACCCTGTACTGTGTCTCTTGACCTTTGGACTTTGCTTGTGTGGATTAATCCCTGGACTTTGAACTTTGGACTTGGCATACTGACTTGCTGCCAAGTAGACCAGGGGTTCAGGACAAGCAGAGAGGGGTGTTCTTCTAGGTGGCTTTGTCCCATACTGCTACGGCAACTTCTTCTTTTCTACTGTTTCTAGAATTTATATCTTCCTGAAGGAGCCCAGGGTGGCAAACACATAAGCACCCTATAAATCACCTTATGTACCCATGCATGCACATAAAGGCTGATCTTAGCCCAAAGGTGCTCTCTTTTGTGGTAAAGGATCTCCAGTTATAGGGAAAGCTAGTTGGAATCCATTTTAGACCATTGTGAGAGAGAATCTTG